TAGATTAAAGGAAAAATATTTAAAAAAAATCCTAGTGCTATTTTTTGACAATTGCGTTTTGTTGTACGCAATAGTCGCTTAAAAAGTTGCCAGCAACAACAAATATACAGTACAAGGGTTTTGAGTACCTTTTTTTCTTGACTAAATATTATGATTGAAATTTCCATCATCATGCAAAGAAGGGTTAAAAAGTGACTTATGCCACTTTCAAAATAAACGGCTCATAATCTAATAAAAGAATGAGGGAAAGGAATAAAAAGATAGATAGATGAAAAAAAATTGAAGATCGATCATCGGAATTACTTTTACGAGATTTCCCATAATAACGAGGAGTCATACCTCTTCCTTTTATTACGTACGACCTAATTCGAACGGAGGCAAAGACAGGGCACAGACAAGGTTTTCGAGTTTTGCAAACGCCCACCTGTTGAACCTTCTCTCTCTTCTATCCGAGTGACTGTCTGGTTAGGTACCTCGAACCTACCAACCTATCTACCTAGCTAGCTAGCTATCTAGCTACTACTAGATAGCTAGCTAGGTAGCTGAATGGCTGGATGGTTGCTTCAGTGACTGGCTGTTTAACACGTGCACGCTCAAACTACCAAACTTTGTTCTCTTCCATAGAATCACATTTTAGTTACACTATCACTTTTCGTATTCAAAATTACCTTATTAATGTATCATATATTCTATACAAAAAATACGGAATTTTTCGGAAACGTTTGTTATCTGATATGAATCAATTTTTGGTTTAATTTATGAAAGATAAATGGAACATTTAAAGAAAATAAATGATAGTTTTATTAGACTTTTTTGACGATTCTTAATTTATTATAATAATTTAGTTATTTTAAAATTATATTCTTGCATAATGTTCGATTTTTTATTGAAATTACTTTGACTCATTTTTTTTTTTGGAAATTAATATACGCGCAAGTTGTTTTTTCAGATTATATGTTAAATTATAAGTACTTTTCATGTTTTATTTTTGTGTATAGTGTGGAATAGTTTAGATATTTGTGGTTTCTTTTTTCTCTCTTTTTTTGTTGTTTTTGTAAATGATAAAAAAATAAAAAACTTACTCGGTAATTCTGCTAGCAAAATTGGTAGATGTGTTGGTGTCGTACCAACTCATGTCTTGCCTAAGTACTGCACGTAAGAACATCTTTCGTACTCTTGCGATTTGTCTGAATGCAGCTATGTTTAATAAATCGACGGTGAAAATGGCAAAGATGAATTGAACCGTTGATAAAGCGGCACATGATACACCAAATGCCACCGAATCATCGTAGAGAGCGTCCATTTTCTCCTCTTCGGTTGCGTTCGGTCCTCTATAAAATAAATACAAATCTATTTTATGTCAAAATTTCATTTTTTTGTTTTTTCGTATTAATATATAGAAACAATATCTGACAAGAAAATAGAAAAATAATATATATTAATTATATATATATATACAATTATTTATA